TGGAAAAGTCTTAATTACAATCATTTTTTTTTAAATTTTGCTAATTCATGTCAAAAGAAAATGTAAAAAGGTTTTAAAAACATTTTATAATTGACAAGGGGGAAATGGCAGTTAAGAACAAGCAAAAGGACAAGAAAGAGGAGGAAAAGTAAATCATTTTTCTTGGTGCCAAGAAAAAAAAATATCCCAAACTTGTTTGCATTTGGTGCCCAATTACAGTCCAGCAGCCCAAGTCTACAAACGTGAGCCTTTGTGGTTGAACATATCAACTGGTTTTTGAATTAGAGGATCACATTTCTCAATTAACTTTGAGACTCTAGCCCTTTCAAGAAATAGATTTTGGGATGGCATACAATACCTCAATTCTAAAATGAGAAAGTCAACTGTGAAACTAAATTTAAAATTGCAGTTGTTTTTCTATCAGCCCTTCCTACAATTACTACAGAGAGGAATAGGATGAAGATAGGAAACATTTAAATAAAAATGCGTGTATTCTAGGTTTATTGGCAGGTCTTATGGTTTTAATTACTTGGAGACTGTCAAAATACAGGCTAATGCACACAAGTAAGGAGGTCTGCATGCTTCACTATCTGAGCTTCACCCTCAGCCAGGGAAGATAAACGTTTACCCATGTAGGGGCAGGAGAGGGGCTGGGAAACTGTGGCCCACACTTTGTAACCGGTCCACAGTGCTCACTCCACTGGCCCTCAGCCAGCAAGCTCACTTGAATAAGAACTTCAAGGTGAAGAATTAGACAAAAGGAATCCACTCACTACAACAGAACATGTGAATACAGCCGTGTATATACCACATATGCACAACATCTCATATATTTCATCAGTGCTGTTTATGAATGGGCACGTTATTAAATGTGGCCTCTGCTGACACGTCTGTGGTCAACCTGTCAGCCAAAGAAGTTCTGCTCAGTGTTGAACTCTGTTTTACACATAGAGAGCCTATCTATCACCTGGGCTTAGAAAGTCAGGTACCACATACCAGAAGCACTTTCAATTTTAGGGGTGTTTGTTAATTTACTGATGATGCTAACATATCTCTGGCTATTTTTCCAAGATTAAAGATAAGCCACACAAATGGTATCACTATAATCAGAGAGAGAGAGAGAGAGAGAGAGACAGAGAGACAGAGAGACAGAGAGAGAGGTGAGCTATGGTAAGCTGAGTAATGATATATGGTTTTGACCTTATACACCAAAATACCCACTTGAACATACTTTTGCTTGCATATTTTCACTAGAAAACTTACAAATTAAAATAAGCACACTTTGAAATATTATAATAAGTTAGTACTTGAGGATTTGTGCTACTTTTTTTTTTTTGTACCGGGAATTTAACTCAGGACCTCACGCTTGCCAGGCAAGTGCTTGTGCCACTGAGCTATATCCCCAGCCCCAATACTTGAGCATTTGTTACGGGCCAGGTGCTAAAACACCTGCATGTCATAACTTATTCAGTCCTAATAACTGAGAGAGGCCCTACCGCATGATTTTTATAACTAAGGAAGTGACATGCCACAAGTTGAGAAATAACATGCCACAGATTACCGGATTCAGTTAACAAAAGCTTCAAGCTATTCTCTCTATTAACAAATGGGCACTGCATTCTTATGGACCCCACGTACCAATTTGGTACTGAGTGTGGGGGAAAATCAGAGAGGACAATAAAATGTAAAGACTCTGAAACAGCTGACCCAAACTCAGGTCCAGTCAGGCACACAGTTTCTAGCAGTCCAAGGCCTCGAGCTGGCTCCCTAGGGTTATTTCCCACGCAGTTTGGACAGAAAAAAGATGGTGTCATGGGACCATCCTGGCCAGTCTTGGGAAGTGTCTAAGTAAAAAGCTGCAGCTTATTCTAGCAAGTGTAATTTCTTGCAGACTTAAAAAACAAAAGTTACTTGTAAGGTTGATGAGGTCTATGCGGTAGAAAGAGGCATGTGAAGTACTAAGCAAAGACAAGATACAGCTAAATTAAAAATGAATGCAGTACTGTAATAGCCGATTTTCGAAACTGATAGATTAGAAATTATCTGCAGTTATTTTCACTGAATTATGGGAAACATCTCAGAGTTATCTCCCAAGGGTAAGTCAAAGCCATGCTACTTTTTAAATGTGAGGTATGGCGGCCCAAAGATGGAACAGAAAAGCAACGGCTGTCTAAGGCACACTGGGTGTCATTCATGAACCTGCCCAACAAGCAGGAGCGTCTATGTCTTCAGATCAATTTATACTTGCCAATGTTATTATTAAATACTATTACAATAAGAGGAAAAAAGAAAAACAATGGGCTGTCTGTAGATGACATAAAAACAGCAATCGTTCAAGCCACGGAGTCTATCTTGGTGGTTTCCACCTAAATGAAAATAAATGATCTTGATGGAATGTATACAACAAAGTGGAGAGAGAAAGCAGTACAAAGAGGATTCAGTTATGCAGTCAGGATTTTAGAGTTGTTGAGGAACTTCATGATAAGCTGAATGTACACAGAAGCTGTTCTTCGTGCTCAGCCATGACCTTGGGCTTGTGGTGTGAGGCACCACCCTTATAAAGAGTGCCTGGAGTGAGAAGACAAGAGAGCCTGTGCAGAGCTCTGGAAGCCCCAAGTTCTGAGAGATAGCATAGAAAGAGCAGCTTATGAAGATAGCCACTTAAGGGCAATAGAAAGGCAGCTAGAAAGCCATGAAATGTGTTGTCATAGGAGCCTTGGAAGGAAGATGTAGTGGTCAGCTTTTCCATTGATGAGAAAAATATCTAACAGCCACAGTTTAAAGGAGAGGCTGATTCTGGCTCCTGGTTTCAGGGCATTCAGTCCATGGTCATGGGCTCCAAGGCAGAAATGGCACGATGGAAGGGTGTGGCAGAGCAAACGTGCCTAGATCATAGCAACTGGAAAGCAAAGCAGGGAAACAGTGCAGAGAAGAGGGGGCTGGAGATCAGATACAGTACCCAAGATCACACCTCCATAACCCACCCGGAGACCCCCAGAAGTAGTTTTACTAATCTGCTAGGCAGCTCATTCAAGTTGACACTCCACCTTAACCATCACTGAAGGTAATTTAGGAAAGAAGAGGGGTTGTGTTGAGTAACAAGAAGAGGTCTAGAAAGATCAGACTAGAAAATACTCATTCGGTTTCTTGGGCATTACTTGCTGGTGGCTTCAGGAACAGTCACAATGGAAGATGAGTTTACTTTCTGCAAAAAATGGGAGATCTGGAAAAGTTAAAAGAAGGGCAGAGCCAATATTCAAGAAGTTTGAAGAAAAGATGAGGATGGCACAGTGCACAAAGACATACTCAAGGGAAACTGGGCAGGAGAGAACGGAGGGACTGATTGGAACAGCTCGGGGAGAGACAAAGGAAACTCACGATGATGGATCAGACTGGATAAGACAAGGTAGGAGGCACCAGCTCGCTCCGAGAGGAGGAAGGTGGGAAAGAGACGGATATATAGAAAGAGAACTGAGTGGTTCTTCTGAGGAGTTTTAAAATTTATGTTCAATTTTTTTAAGCATGTGGAGTTTATCTTAATAATTGATGTGAGACTTTTTAGAAAAAGTTCCTTTCCCTTACTACTTATAGTAAATATTAAATGAGTAAATCATGACTGGCCCTCCACTCACAGGGGCTCAGATGAGATATTTTGGGCACCGTAGGCCCCCATACTCCCTGCCCTTCACTTGTCGCTAGCCCAAACTTTCCTCATTCTCCAGCTCCTTCTGCCAGCTGCAGAAAAGAGGTTCTCATGCCATTAGAAAACACCCGGGAGATTAACGGGGAGGAGTTTAACCACCCTCAAGCTTGTGAAGGCTGGCAGTGTCAGCACTGGCAGCTACTTGGTTTTCCTGCTTGGATTCCGCCAGAGGCAAAAGCAGGCAGCACACAGAAGGAAAGCACGGTGGCAGAAAAGTGCACTTAAAAAAATGAAAAGAAAAATACAGAAGAAGGCTTAGAATAGATTACTGCCAAAATCAGGCCAGGGGGGTGATTAAGAAAGGGATTGGTCACAGAATTAAAAGGTGCTTCTGTGTTCAAGATCATGTGATTACCCACTGTATTACTTTCAAAAGAGTTTCTCTCTACAAACATACACTGCTCGATACCTGTTTGTTTACTTTGTTAAGACCCAAAAGTTCTGTGTGCAAAGAGATTTATGATTGAGAGACCAGTACTCGTAACCCACAGCATCTTAGCAACAGCTCCTTTAGCAGGCTTTGATTATGAAATCTGCCAGGGATATAGCTCAGGGGCACAGCGCTTGCCCGGCAACATGAGGTCATGAGTTCAATTCCCAGCACCAACTGTGTAATCTAAAATATTATTTACAAACTGAATGTCAGGTACATTTTTCAGTTCCATCATTCCACTCTGAATCTTATAGGTATATACACTTTTTCTCAAGTGGGTCATCAAAAACACTCTGAATTATTGATGTTAGCCATAATTTGAAAATTTAACTTCACTCCAGAGGCAAGAGCAATAGCTGTCTTGAGTTGAGAGTCTATACTCTTAACTTTCAAGAGTCCTCTTCTAGTTTTAGAAGTATTGGACAATAATGCCAATATTCTGTTTCTAGTAAAGATATATTAATTCTACAAGAACTTACAAAGTACCCAATATATGCTTGACATTGTACAGTCTGCTGAGAATATCAAAATGATTGAGGTATAGAACAACTGCTCTGGATCTCATATAGTGTGAAAAAAGCAAATAAATTTTTAAAAATTTCCACAATCTGATTTCTTTGGAGGTTGTTTAATCACCATGCCTCAGAATATCAAGACCACTGCCTTGTGCAATATCAACAAAGCTACTTTTTCAGGAATAAGCAAAAGGATACATAACAGTTGGTCATGCAAAATAAATGTTCCCAAGAGAAGGAGGACGACAAGCAAGAATGAGAAATGCCAACCACTCACCTGCCCAATCCCAAGAGGCAGTGGCCAACACATACCCACACATACTCTAAAAAACGACAACAGAAATCTTACCTGATTTCCCCACGCCTGCTCTCCCAAATACTGCGAGTTTGACCTCCGCACTTTTAGCCATGGTGGGTTTTGGTAGAATTTACTGTTGTTAAAACTAAATATCTGAGCAAATTCTTTTGTTCCCGGTCATTGAAGTCACCATATCATTGTAAATTTTGGAAGAGTCCACAATCCTTAAACAAAAGAGATTTGGAAATTCATGGCTGGAAGATGAATTAATTTGTATTAAGTATCTATGGTATGCCAGTAACTATTCACTTTATCGGCATTTTCTAATTTGATCTCCCACATGATCCTGCGAGAGGATCCTCGTAATTTATTGCAAACTATTTAATTAATGAAAGAAAGACCCAGGATTTAAGAATTTAAATGCTGGATTCCAAATATGTGCATGTTCACACAATATCATTTTCTAAAGTATTCCCTCAGGAAACTTTTTTATTTTATTTTATTTTTTTTTGGTTTTTCTCAGGTACCGGGAACCGAACTCACGACCTTGCGCTTGCCAGGCAGGCGCTTTTGCCGCTGAGCTAAATCCCCAGCCCCTCCCTCAGGAAACTTTTATGAAGGCATTGTTTCTTGGCAGGAATTGATAATAAATACTTGAAGTACAAGAATACATGCACTTACCACCTGTATGTAAACATACAAGTACACATGATGGAGAAGGTCACTTCAGGGCTTCTTTATTTCTTTTAGACTGAATAATGTACATTCATATTAATCAACTCCACTGCCATGCAGTTCAATTTTTTATTTCAAGGTTAAATTGGATCCTAATTCATGCTCAAGTTATGTAACAGAGGCACATGTTATCGGAGTTGATACATAAGCTCAAGATCATATTTATATATATTTTGTGCACAATGCCCTGGTAGAAAACAAGATAAATACCATGCTTCAAGTTTTGATTCTTTTTTTTTATGATGATCTCACAGAAGTTACTTTATAAACTTGTCCTAACACCTGGAACATGACATTATATACAGCGTAAACACATTTTGTGTTGGTGCTATAGAAATGAATCTAGGTTCTTAATACCAAGGAAACATAAACTTGGAAAGAGCCTTGGGAGGATTAACCAAAGGAATCCTCCGGCCATTGCAAGAGGCTTTCCTTAGGCCCAGAGGATCATCTTGTGCCTGACTTACTATCTAGCCCTAGGTATAGGAGGTGGGTTCACTACCTCTCAATGCTGCTTTCTTTCTAGTCAGCCCCTTCCAGTTAGGAGAATGGTCTTTCTTACACTGAGCTCTGACCTGTCTCCCTGTGGTTTCTGCTGATGTGTCCTGGGCTTTTTCAATGAAGTAATTCGAAACAAGTCAACTACATTTTTTTCTCTCAGAACCCATCAGGGTCTTGGCTGTTATGCCTCTTGGTCCTGTCTCACATTTCTACTGTCCAGCACGTGGATTCATTCTCCAAAGGACAAGCATCATGGATTCTTTTCTTTTGCCTTTTATCCTCTCCTTCCCCTCTCACCATATGCACCACTCCTCCCTGGTACCCACTGCTTTTATGATCCTAAAAACCTGATGCCCGCAACCTTCACCACTTGAGGAGTGACCTGACCAACTGACACAGGAGAAGCTCCCGGGGACACTCCCTGTGTGCTGTGGCTGTGCTGTTCCACCACCACTTAGAGGGAGCTCCTGTCACCCACCTGGACTGCACACTCCTGTACTCTGAATTCCTGTAACTGACACTTTAAAGATAAACACGAGACTTCGTTTCTGTCAGTGTTAAACTTAATCACATCAGTTCTTATGATTCACCCACTTATGCATATCTAATAATATTTGTGAAACACCAATCTGTTATCCAAACAGGTTAACTGCTCCTAGGAGCATTTCTTAATCTGCAGGTGTTTAAAAAGAACTCAAGAGAGAAAAAGTGAAAATTCCTCTGACGTGTCCATCGAGACAGTAATATGCAATCTTTCCTTGTGCATTTGAGTCATCAACTCGGCCCTAACAAACTTTGTATTTGCTGATTTCCAAACTTCCAGAACATCCTCTGAAGGAAGAAATGTCAACATTAACTATTGCTTACTTCATCTCCCTATAAAAAAACTGCTTAGTGATCATTAATAGTACCCAAAACTCCAAAGCATAAACGTTTATAATTTATCTAATCCCATACTTTTGGATAAAGATGAAAGGATTTCTTTATTTGTCATTTTATATGAATTCATCAAGAAAAGCTTTCTATGTATAGGTCCAGGGCTTCATTATAGAAGCATACTATATTGGAATAGATTAACTATATAAATTTGAATTATATAAATTCTACATGAGCTGGGCATGGTGGCACATGCCTGTAATCCCAGCACTTGGGAGGCTCAGACAGGAGGATGGCTGTGAGTTCAAGGGCAGCCTGGACTACATAGTGAGACCCTGTCTCAAAAAACCAAAAACAAACAAATAAATAAATAAAATTCTAGATGAGAATAGTTGCTGGCTAACATCTTTGAAAAAAACCATAGACGTCTTGGGACAATTTACTATTTTATGCAAAACTGTTCATTCTTGGGTATTGAAAATCTAAGTAATTATTTTCTTGATAAGTGCTGCATAAAAGTAACCATCATATGTGAATTTTAAAAACAAGTCAAATATCTCAGCAAACTCCCAAACTGCTTTTCTTGGATGCATAGGAATTTCACGTAGGAAAGAGAAATGATATGGGTTACTTTTTCCATTTATAATTTAATAAAGATATATCTGGTTATTGTCCAACTTATAATCAGAAAAATCACTTAGAGGAAGACATCAAACTGACATAAATCCTTCAAAATTTTACTTCTCACATGAGAATAAGGGAAGTTAAATTTGACAAGATAGAAAATAAGGTGAAAAGCCAGGCTTGGTGGCACAAGCCTATAATCCCAGCACTCGGGAGGCTGAGGCAGGAGGATCTTTGAGAGTTTGAGACAAGCCTGGGCTACAAAGTGAGCTCAAGGCCAGCATGATCTGTATAGCCAGACCCTGTCTCAAAAAAAAGACAAATAAATAAATAGATAAATAAATAAAAGAAATACTGGTATTATAAAAAAATACGGTAAAAGTACAAATTGTTCTACTGAAGTAACCTACGGCCAAATTTCTGATGTTCAAAATAATTTATCATCTAAGACCTTCCATAAAATGGATATAAGAAAACACATGTGTTCCAGTGGGTGCAAATAGTCTGACTGTAGCTAGAAGCTGCCACTCCTCTATTATGCAGACAGTGCTTTATTACAGACGAAAACTTCTCAGTCTCCAGCACTCCTAAAAGTAAAGTCACATCTGAATATTTAGAAGAATAAATGTATAATGGATATTTTGCTAAAAATAGAGTCATGAAGGGAAATTTAGAATGAAGAAAAACCCTCCACATTTTGTATCATTATTAATACATGCATTCATTCCACAGATGCTAAGTTCTGTATGTACAAACAACTGGCCACCTTCTAGGAGCTTAGACTATTAGACCTATGACATTTAGATTGCTGGAACCTTATTTGTTTCTTTATAAACAGTTTTCAATCCTAACAAATCATCCCCAAGACTATACTTACCAAGGTTCCTCTTTCTGTTTTCTGGGAGGTGGAGAGGGGAAAAAGGCATCTTCACAGTCATTTTTTTCTAACTTCTGTTTTCATGTTCTCATCAAAATAAAGAGCAGCTGTTTGGGGAACGAAAGAACCTAATCTGGTCGTGGGAATCAGGTTCTCTCTTTTTTTCCGTTTGGGCCAACCTTTCTCTGGTTCGGAAATCAAGTTTTTCTGATTCCATGAGGAGCTAGGAACCCTCCCTCATATCACCAGGCGGCACCCCCAGAAGAGGGTAATTTTACGAACCCCTTGATATGGCGCTATCTGAAATCAACAGGTACCCTGCAGTGATAAACAAGCCAGGGTGGCTCTGCAGGTCGCTTGCTTTCAAACTAGGGTGTCAACACAGCTTCAATCCAAAAAGCATACTGGAGAGCGCTGGAAAAAGTGGGTGCTGGGTTCACCTCTCTCTCTCTCTCTCTCTCTCTCTCTCTCTCTCTCTCTGCGAACCCCAATTCGCCCCGGTGACCATCAGGACTACCTCTCAGACGCCAAGAGCTCAAAGACTTGAAACAGATCTGCAGCGAGTCGCCCCAAGAGCCACCTGGACACGTGCGTGACACTCACCTGTTCGCTCTCCAGGCCGGGGGAGCTGCGGTCCTTTGCAAGTTCGCAGTGGGTCCCCCAGGACCACGAAGCCCTCCGCCGCCACCAGCCCAGGCTGCAGCTGGTGCGTCCGACTGGCCAGGCTGCGATCGCGGGTGGGAGCCGCAGCGGCAGGGAGCGCGGGCCCGCGGGGGTCCCCTCCCCGGCGCTCGCGGCGGACAGACTGCGGCAGGACGCGAGCTCTGCCCGGTCGAGGCCACCGCTCCGCCGCCGGGATGCTGCAGTGAGGCGCTTTGGCGCCCCCTACTGAGCCAGGGCGGGCTCCTCCCGGACAGCGAGCCCGAAACACCAGGCTTTCACGCGCAGCACCCAAGCCTCGCCTCCTCTTTCCTTTTTTTTTTTTTTTTTTTCCCCCTCAGTTCTCAGCCTCCGGGCTCTGGCAGAAAACCGACTTTGGTTGATTAAAACCTTGCGTATGAAAGCATCACTACGAGCTGTGTTCTGTTCCTCACTTCAAAGGATCTTAGTAACATCCCCTGGAAATACATTAATTATCCCTGCGTTACCCAAGAGGAAACTGGAGATTTGAAAAACAAAACAAAACTAGTCCAAGGCTAGTACATGGCTGGAAGGAAATCTAGGCTGGATCGCAAACTGAGAGATGCCCAGAAAGGCATTAACACTGAACTCCACTGATGTGCTTATGCGTGTATTTGAGAGAGCCCAGCACGGTTCCTGTACCACTTAGCAGCGTTGATAGTCTCCTTGGAGCTGTACACCACCGTGCTCACAGCCTAACAAAGGTATTCAACGTGCGAGCTACGCTAGGCCTGCTGCTACACCCCCTCATCCGATATCCACACCTCCCTGGAGGTGAGAGCTAGTATTGTAATAATTGTCAGTCTTTCCCGGATGAGAAAGTGAGTTTTAGAGAGGTTAAATGATTTTTCAAAGGCAGTGAAATTTATGAGCAAAGCAAGAGGAAATGCCTTTGAGGGTTTTTGTTTTTTTTTTTGTGGGGGGGGCGTTAAAGTTTCAGATCTGGGCATTCTTACCAACACACCAAGAAGCCGTCACCATGAGCGGCCAGGGGCCCAAGGCTAAGTGAACAATCTGCAGAATGTCGTGTTGGCGGGGAGGTAACCACGGAGGCAGTTTCCTGGCTGGCGCTGCCTGAGAAAGACACTGCAGCTGACAGCTGTGAGCTAGGATGAGCAAAGTAGCCGTGTATCCTGGCAGGAGTAGTAATCGCCAGGTGTCCTCCTGCCAGCACATACCTGGATCACGTATATCCCAGATCCACTGACCTGTCTCCTAGTACCTGTGACCTGTCCCTGTGTTTTCATTTCTCAGACTTCTGCACTATACCTGGAACTTCTGGAAGCTAGGAACTTCTGGAAGCTATGTGTATCTCCATATCCTCAGCATCTACTTTAATGCCTGGCACACAGTAGCTACTCAAAAAAACAGCGGTGGAGTAAATTAAGAGATGGAACAAGTGGTGTGACCAAATACATTTGAATTGCTTACGTGCTGAATTTGGGACAATAAAAAAATTAAACAGAGGGGTCTGAAGTTCAAGAAAGAATAGCAACTTCGGCATCTTAGTACACAAAAGATTTTTGAAGCCTAAAATGGGAAAGCAATTGAACAGGTAGAGTGTGTAGAATTTTATAGAATTCCAAATTATATCGAATTTTGTGGCACTGACGTATTCAAATCTCCCATCTTCCAGCCCCCATCAAATCTTGTCTTCAGGGCAAGATTTAATAAAATATCTATGAATATATGACATATATATACACCATGCATACTATTAATAGATCTAAATTTACATAGCATATATCTGTGAACACAGACAATTTAAAAAGTTTAAATAGTATGTATCTATATGTTACATTGTATATACCTATACAAGTCATATACTTATATACTATGCTCTAAATTGGAATTTCCATTTTTACCAAATAGATAATACCAAAGAGAGTCTAACAGGGTCCAGTGGAACAGGTCTTAGGGATCGTAGCTATGGAAGCTGTCTCTCTGTGTTTTCCTGGTTAGCCTACATAAGAGGAATGCCAGCACTCATCTCTCAGTGACGGAGGCCTTGACACTTGTAACTGCTGTTCTTAATGTTCTGGGCTAAGAGTGACGGGGTAGCTACCTGGGAGGCTGACAACCATTGCACTATGTCTTCCGTGTGTATCGCATATTCCATGGGACTCATCCTGTACCACAAAAGCAGCAAAAGGAACCGCTCTCCCTTGTGCTACCTTCAGCATGGTAACAAGTAACAAGGACAAAGGACACTCTGCACTTCCGATTGCACGGTAGATGCCTGTTGGACAGAATTCTTCTGGGGAGAGGTTATGTCACACTCCCAGGACTCAGGCTTAAGCTAAAACTTCTCACACAAAGCTAGTAGATGAAGAGCCGGTATGATTCCAAAGCATGTTAAAAATTAAAATTGCGAATGTGTATGTATTTGTGTGCGGAGAAGCTGTTAATCATATTCATTGTAAATAATTTAAACAGTAGAAGAAATTCAAAGAAGTAGAAAATTGCCTTCAAAATCACACTATCCAGAAATAGTCACATTACCATAAGAGATAAAACTGCATTTCAGGTATCATAGAACAGAGACATATTAGTAAATATATGAAATGCCCAAAAGATATGCTAAGGACCATCATACGGCAAAAGTCATTTTAATTTAAAAATATATGTAATTAAGCAGAAGATAAAGAAATCAAAGTGAACCTTAAAGAAAATGGATGAACTTTAGATGTTTACTCACCTTATGAGATATTTCATCCTAAAGGTTCCTCTAAAGTCAAAATTATTACATAAAACCAGATCTGAATTCACTATGGCTTTATTCAGCATCAGATGGATTCTTGCTATTTGAAAGAAAAGGAAATGAATTCCTTACTCTACCTCTCATTTTCCCTTCCCCACTTTTGTATTTTTATTTTAGTATTATTTGCTCATTGTCAAGATTTATAACATTTGCATTGTACTGGTAACTTTTATTCCCAAAGTAAATTTAGTTCTACATTTAAATGAAAGAAATTCATTTAATTAAATCTTTTGCTGTGGCTCTTCTATTACTGGTTCTTTATAATGATTCATCTTTTAATTTCTTCAGTGAGTAACATTTCCAAGAAAGTCTTGCAGGTGGCTTATTGTATATTTGAGAAACCTTGCCTTATCTTGATGGTTTTAATATATTTTGCTATTAACCTATTTTTACTTACAACAATCCTTCTCTCCTTTTCTCCTGCATAGCATATTTTCATCTTTATTATATTATATCTTTTAAAATCAGAGATCATATTTAGTATGACACATAGGAAGTGAATTGTATGCAGCTCCAGTCCTAGTTTATCTGAGACCTGTTTGTTTTCTCCATGAAGAAACCGTTTGAATGTGAACACTGCATTCTGCCTACTGTCCTGGAAGGAGAAGATGAGACACAGGAAGGATCATCTGAGTCTCTAAGCAGCGTGTTGGAGGGTTGGTGCTCTGCTGTTCCTCTGAGCCTGTACTAAAGACCCTGCCTAGGATTTAGTGCAGACACTCAGCACCCATTTTGTAAGAAGGACCACAAGGAAATGATTTTTTTAGGTTTGAGATCGCTTTCTCCTTTCATCTTGGGACCTTCTACTCTTTCTCCTTAGCTATTTCCACTGTAACTTTCCTCCAGTCCGAGAAAGATAATGACAGCTGCAGGGCTCATCTTACTTCAGATCTGGAGGTATTAACCGATGGGAAAGAATACTCAGGGTGAGATGACTCATCAGCACTGCTTCTGGAAAGCCAGGCCTCTCTGCACCATGATCTTCTGTTTCTAAAGGTTTGTTTTGAAATTCCATGGAGAGAAACGATATCACTTTCCTTATTTGTTGCCTTGGGGTTAGGTGTTTTATCATCATTGTTTATTTAGCTAGCTGTTAGCAAAGATAAGTTTTGTTTTAGCTGTGATTAGACTTTCCTGCTTCCTGAGAACATCTATTTGTAAAACCAAAATGTACAAAATAGCTGTTTGGAAACATTAGAAAACAATCAAGGCAAGGCTGCAAATCTTTTTTTTTTTTTTGTACCAGAAATAGAACTCAGGACCTTGTGCTTGCCAGGCAGGCACTTGTGCCGCTGAGCTATATCCCCTGCCCCAGGGCTGCAAATCTTGATAAAACAGTTGTACTTGAGTTAGTTCCATTTTCATCCAAATTTCCTCCATGGGGGTGACATAAGACCTTCATCCATGCAAGCAGAGCCAACACAACAGTAAGAAATTATAGTTAAGGATGACCAAGGCAGCTGGGCCGAGAAGGAACGTGTAGAGAGGACGGTCACAGAGAGGCCACTCTGGATATTTGCATGGAAGTGGCCCTGGGAGCTTGGACAATTCCTGGGCAGCACATTGTGTGGGGCCTGGAGACACCTAGAAAGACAGCAGCTGCCTGGAGTCTGAAAGCCAGATGGCGGTGGAGATGTCTGAGAGCTAGGACAACATCAGAGCTCAGAAACTTCCATGAACGTACTGGGCGCTTGACTGACACTTCCAGAATTGCTTCAGAAAGTGGCAAGAATGACAGGGCACATGTGGTTAAAGAGAGGGGGAGTGTTTTGAGGGAGATTAATGACAATGTGTCTTTTACTAATTTTTTTTAAATGTAGACACACATGGTAATTTTTAATCAGCTCTTATATGTGCCTCTTATAAGTTTCTAATTGAGCAGATCTTTGAGCCATAATTCCTACATCAAATTTAGCTATTAGGGTTCTATCTCTATTTTAACTATTTTTTCCAGATCACTGAAAATTAGATTTTATTAATATAATGAGGTTTCTTATTGAATTCTTATTGCTTTTACTAATTTTTCCTTTTGAGACAGGGTCTTGCTATATAGTTCAGGTTGACCTTGAACTCACTATAGAGTGGAACTTGAAGGCTTGAACTTTCAGTGATCCTCCTGTACCAGCCTCCCAGATGCTGGGATTATGGGCCTGTAACATCATGATCATCCCAGGTTCTACTAATTTTTAAGTGTGCAGTAGGACAGTTTTAAAATTTCCTGTGTGTGTATACACATGTGTGTACGTATGTGAGCAGTATACAAGAAAAAGATAGAGTAACAAGCAAATTCAGTTCCAGAACCACAATAATTATATGAACATTATGGCTATATAATCTGGAATCTTGAAAAAATTATTTCAAATAAAATTTTAAAACATTTTATTGGAGCATAATACTGCTTAGATAATATTGGATGATCTTCACATAATAAGCTAGCAAGAAACCAGGAATGCAATCGCAAAGA